GTCGCAAAAAGACAAACATGGTATGTACTCATTCATATATGGATTTTAGATATGGATCAGGATAGTGCCAGTCTGCACTTCCACAGATAGAGAGTCTGGGAAACAGGAAAGAACCTAAAAGATATGCATATATGCATAGTACGCAAGAGAAGAGGATGGAGACAAGATCCTCTGAATGGATGGGGAACAGGGCGAGGGGGGTAGTGGGACCTGGGAAGAATAGAGGGGGTAAAGAGGAAGGGAGTTGGTCATGGGGGAACAGGAAGTTGAGGGGGTGGGGGTAGAATAGGGGGAAGAGGGAATCATAGGATCGAAGACAGATCAGGCACCAGAGTGACCTCGAGTGATCTAAAGGTATAACATCAATTGGCAAGCTAAGCAATAGTGGAAGGACCACCTCGAATGCCCATTCCTGATAATGAACTTGATGTCTATAACTATCCGGGAGCCTTCATCCTGGGACTGATGGAAGCAGAGGCAAACACACAAATAAGCACTGAACTGAACCCAAGGAACCCAGTGACAGAGAGAGAGGAATGATGAGCAAATTGGCAAAGAATGGGCTGGCAAAACCAGCAGAGACAGCTGATCTGAACAGGGGAGTGCTCTTGGACCCCAGACCGACAGTGGGGAGGCCAGAATGGGACTGATCTGGACCCCCAAATGTGAGTGTCAGTGAGAAGGCCTGGACAACCTATGGGGCTCTGAGCTGTGGATCAGTGTCTATCCCTGGTATACAATCTGTCTTCATGTGCCTATAGCACAAAGAGAGATGCTCTCTCAGCCTGGACTCTTAGGGGAGTGCCTTGACCCTACCAAGAGTAAAATGATAGACTCTAGACATCCCCTATGTGGAAGGATTTGGCAATAGGGTGGGAGGGAGGGTGGAAGGGGAGTGCGGGAGGAGGGGAGGGAGAGGGAACTGGGATTGACATGTAAAACAAGCTATTTAAAATTAAAAAAAAAAGAATAAAAAAAAGAAAACGATTAATTACCCCCATACCAGAAAAAAATGTATTCATTAGGACCTAAACCCACAAAGTTTCACCAACATGACTGCTAAAAATGATAGGCTAAATTAGATGAGAGAAACCTCATACACAAAGAACTACAGGCAACTAATGAACGCTGAGAGCAGAAGCAAATAGTCTTCTCCAGGGAAGAGCCAAGAGCACACCAACTAGTTATCCAACACCAGATTGTCAGCCCTGAAAACATACATACAAGTAACACTGTAACGACCAAACACACATATCTATATCCATGTACATACATGTATGTAACAGCAATTAATGAAGAAAGAGCCCATTAATTTGAAAGAAAGGAAGAGTATATCAGAAGGTTTAGAAGGAAGAAAAGGAAGAGGTAAATGATTTTTATATTGTACACTACCCGCCCCCCGGCAATAAATCAGTACAAAAAAGTGCAAACTGAATACTGTTTTAAATTTTTTTCATTGATTTCTACTTTAGCCCAAAATAAAGCCAGATATTCTAACACATGAAGTTCTGGCTCTCATCTACTTTCCTCCCCCTGAGAACACAGGGTTCTGCCTCATTGTACATCTGTGTTGGGCTGTTCTTCCTTTCTCCCATGAAAAGCTATGAGTACCTATGATGCTCAAAGACACTGTTTTAATTACTGTACGTGTACATCCCATCTGGTCTCTCAAAAATCTCACAGGAGAGGTGCATCATTATCTCCACCATGAAGGATTCACATGCAGTGCACACAAAAGTCTTCACCATCTGCACTGTAGTCTTCTACTTACGATATAGCATTTCTGGACTTACACCCGAGTTTTTTATGCACACAAGCACCCATAAAAAATTTACTGCTTATAGCACAAAACCTTCATCTGATTTGTATGGATGTTGACAGGCAAAATAATCTATAATATGTGGGAATTAAAATGTAAGCATTAGGTTTTAATGTGTTTGGATTGCTTAATGTATCAAAAACTCTTTGGTAGTTTTTGATCTATTAAGCATAGCCTCATAGATTTGAATACTTGGTCACTAAGGAGTGGCACTATTTGAAAAAATTAAGAAGTGTGGCATTGTTGGAAGGAGTGTGCCACTGGGGATAGGCTTTGAGATTTCAAAAAGCCCATTCCAATCACAGAGTCTCTTTCCTTCCCTCTGCCTGGAGATCTGGAGGTAGAACTATCAGCTACTTCTTCAGTACCATGTCTACCTGCATGTCATCATGCTGCCTGCCATTATGAAAATGGGCTAAACCTCTGAAACTGTAAGCAAGCCTATTAAATGCTTTCTTTTATAAGAGTTGCCACTGTCATGGAGTCTCTTCACAGCTATAGAGCGATGACCAAGGAAAACTCTAATGCTGAAATTTCTCAACCAATCGATATGATACTCTGTAATCATTGAAATACGAATTCTGCCCTAGATTTTTCAACACGTGATGATAGAATTGATGAATGTAAACACAGCTCATCTAAAAAAAAAAAGAAAAAGAAATGAATAACCACATTCATTTCTTAGTTTCCATTGTTGCGACAAAACACCATGACCAAAAAGCAAGCTGGGGAGGGAAGGGTTTATCTGGCTTACACTTCTAGATCATAGTTCATCATCAGAAGAAGTCAGAACAGGAACTCAAACAGGGCTGGAACCTGGAGGCAGGAGCTGATGTGGAGGCCATGGAGGGGAGCTGCTTACTGGCTTGCTTCCTCTGGCTTGTTCAGTCTGCTTTCTGATAGAACCCAGGACTACCAACCCAGGAATGGTACCACCCACAATGGGCTGGGCCCTCCCCTGTTGATCACTAACTGAGAAAATGCCTCATAGGTGGGTCTTATGGAGGCATTTCCTCAACTTTCCTAGACAGAATTTCTGTCCCACCTAGTCCCACAGTTGTGCAACTGCAAATGAACACACAGAGGCTTATATTAATTATAAACTGTTTGGCCCATGGCTTAGGCATCTTACTGGCTAGCTCTCTCTTAATTATTAATCCATATCTATTAATCTATGTATTTCCACGTGGTCTTGGGAGTACTAGTGTTAGCGGGTCCCCTTTCTTCTTCAGCAGCTACATGGCATCTTACTAGTGGATTCTCTCTGCCTTCCTCTTCCCAGAATTCTCCTAGTCTGGTAGCCCCACCTATACTTTCTGCCTGGCTACTGGTCAATCAGTATTTTATTAAGCCAATAAGAGAAACATATATACAGGCTCCTTACTCTCTGATGACTCTAGTCTGTGTCAAGTTGACACACAAAACCAGCTAGTATACCACATACTTCCGGTCACATAGCATAATAGCTAAACAATTCTCTATGAAGATGGATAGGTCAAAATTCACTAAAAATACACAGAATAAATAAGAAGACATGTAAATTATAGATGTTTTGAAACTTTTGTGCTTTGAAATTACTTTAGAATTGAGGAAGTGTTACAAAGAAGATGCCACTTCTTTTAATCTCCCAATTTTAAATTATACCATAGTGGTCTCTTTATGAAAATGATAATTTAAAGAGACAGCACAGAAATTGGAAGGGCAGTGAGAAGAAAGTAAAAGGAGAACAAAAGGCAAACCTTAGCACTCCTAGATACTTAATATCAGGTTACCATTGACTACACAGTTCAAATGAATACATTACGGGGACTTTTTTTTAATGACATAGAATAATGAACCAAAGTTTAAAATTCACCAGCTTTCCCAGCAATGCTGTGTTCCAATATCATTTAATTTTGTTGTCTACTTGGTCTGCTCTCATCAGAAAGAGCTTGCATTAAGCAAATATCCTACATCATGCTGAACTCATTTTTTTCATGTGTATGTATGCCTTGGAATTTCTGCATACAAATTATGTCATCTGTGAATAGAGATGACTTGACTTCCTTCTTTCTGGTGTGGGTGCCTTATGTTGTCTTTTCTTGTCTACTTGCCCCCTGTTTTATCCTCAGTACAAGCTGAAGAGTAGGGTTTAAAACTGGCATCTTTATTTTGTTGCTATTCTTAACACCACAGCCATCAATCTTTCACCACTAAGAAATATCAGATCAGAGCAGTTTGTATTCCATTTGTCCTCATTATGACCTTCAGGTATCAGTACCACATGCTCAGCAATCCCCTCCACTGTTTGCACTGAGATACCAGCATAATGACCATGCTCAGAGGCTAGAATTCCTTTTCGCAATAGTACCTTCAAGCCTCTAAGGGTTGAAACCAAATAATGTCTTAATTTGTGACCTATGTACTTAAACACTTGGCTTAACATTGACTCCTGATTAGACCCACACTCTTTTTAAAAAAAGAAAAATCAAAGCTATAAAACCTTCCAAGTGCTGGGATTAAAGGCATGCATCACCACCCAGCTAAAAGTTTTCTCATAATTCTCAATAATAAACTTGTAACCAGTCAACACAAGCTAATAACTACAGATTCATGATTATTTTATGTCAGCTGACATTTCACATCACCATTCTATTTTTTTGAATCTCACTTAAGTTTTGTCTGTTTATCTGACCACTTATTACTAAACATTTAATATAACATTTTATATGAAGCCTACTTTATTCAGAACTTCTTGTGAGCTAAGGTTGATTTTTTTTTAGAATAACAAAAAAATCTTACTAAAACATAAGATTTATAGAAGTTTCCAGACAAGCCATACACAATGGTCACAAGCTTTTTTCTTCTTCTTTTGGGGGTGGGGAAGAGAATCTACACTTAACAGCAAAGTCACAATATTATTAGTAAGGGCTGTGATGTTTATTTAATGTGCCCATTTTGGTTCAGACAATCAAGCTTGTCCATCTACAGTGTCTAAAGTTAGACTTTGCTAGAGAGCATATTCTAAAAAACTGGTTAGCTGCATTTAACCACTGCAATTAGATCCCATAAGAGGGGGAGTGGGAAAGGAGAACATAAAATAAAACTATTTCCCCCTTAAAAAATAAAAACACCCATACCCCTGGCAGCTAACCTTGGCAGCTAACCCTGACAACTACCTTCATTCACAGTGCTTTGTACTTAAACCATGATGGTCTAAGAGTCACTGTTTTAAAGCATTTCACAACAACCCAGATGATACTTCTAGCCTCTGCTCATGCTTTACAACAGTAAATCAGGACAAAACATAGATTTGCTAATGTGCATGTAATCACTAAAGATGAAGATGCCTGGGCTTTTATTCTGTAATGTTTCTAAGACTGTGTCCATTAAATGCAAACAGAACAAGTGTCTTGGCAGAACAGAAGAGATGGCATATAGCCTAGTCCATGCTCTCGCTGTTTCTATGGCTTGGACTTCATTGGTCTTCCACTGCTCAGCTACATCATTTGCTAACGGATCATCTGGATTAGGAGCACGTAACAAAGCCTGGATTGATAGCAGAACTGTGCGGATCTGCAGTGCTGGGGACCACTTATCTTTCAAAATATCTAAACATATTCTTCCCAACTTGTTTACAATAGGATGATAAATTTTGGTCATGAAACCTACTTTAGGTGCTGCCATTGGATATTCTTCTGGAAGGAATAGTTCAAGTTTAAAAGTCCCTCCCTCAAAGGGGTAATCCTGGGGGCCAGCAATGACCACATGAAAATAACTGGTGTTGCTCTCATCTGGTTCTGCCAGCAAACGCTGGGTTTCCTTGATGATCCTGCAGGACAGCCTGCCAATCTTGTCAAACCCCGAGTTCGGCCTCTGGGCCTCTGCTCTTGTCTCTGGCTCCACTCGCCTCTCCCACGAGTGGAAGTCTAAAGTTGATTCTTAATCACATAAGTCAGATCTATCTTCTGCTTTCTTCTTACAAATACTCTAGTACTCTCTCATTTGTCACTCCCCTTTAGCTCTTCCTCCCTTTTGGTGAGTCCCTTCCAGTTTTATGTCCTACATACAACCATAAATACATATTCACACACACATACACACACACACTACTTTAAACCTAGGTTCTGCATATATGAGGAAATGTGTGGTATTTGTCTGAGCCTGGTTTGCTTTTCACTTGATAGCAACACTTACATTTTGACCCAGTGATGTGTTTCTGGCTTTCACAACTATGGGGAAATCACTTTCTACTGCTTTGTGTCGCCAATGTAGTAATTTATTACATCTGATCTACGAAATTAATAGAAATAGAAATAAATGCTTCATGTGGTAAATAGAACTTGAAGAGTCATAAATAGGATTTATATTACAGTGGGAAAAAGAAATAAAAAGATGTGAAGAACAGTACAGGTTGGCGGGGAGAGGTGGTAGGGAAAGGGGAGTTGTACAAGAAAAAAAATTACACACAATTACAAACTGATTCAAAAGGATGATGTAGACTGTTAAATACACTGAATTCCAGACTAAAAAAAGTTACAGCTTGCCAGGCGGTGATGGTGCACGCCTTTAATCCCAAGCACTTGAGGGGCAGAGGCGGGTGCCAGCCTGGACTACCGAGTGAGTTTCAGGAAATTTTAAACACTCAAGAACCTTACTCTATGAGAAAGAAGCAAGTGTGTATGTAGGCGCTTGACTGCAGTGGGCAAGTCTGGGAAAAGGAAATTCAACATGCGTACGGCACAAACATCTTTGTCTGGAGTACAGCCCCCACGGTTGCAGGTAGGCATAGCGAGGAGCTGCAAGTCCAATAAGGAAGCCTCCCATAAAGCCTTTCCATTGCTCCTGGACCCCCAGAAACATCAAGGGGCCAGCTTCCTTCGGAAATGGGTACCGGGAAGTAAGGACAGCAGCTCCACCTAACCGGTCCTGGAGTCCACGTCCCCGGCCAGCGGGGCAGCTGCGGCCGGTGCCCAGCCAGCGCCGGGGTGCTCCTAACCCAGTCCTAGGCGCTCCGTCGCCTTCCTTCCAGTGTCTTTACTGCTCTCAAGGCTCGCCTACTCTTTTCCCTCTCGGATTCTACAGTTGCCAGCATTAAAACCAGACGAGAGCCGAAATGGACGGCATTCGCCCTCCCCCTCCCCGGACCTGAGCGGGTGTTGCTTCCGGAAGTAGAGCCTCATTTCCGGACCAGGTCCTGGCAGCTCTGAAAAGTAACGCGGCATGTTATGAGAAACGGTTGCCACCCGCCGAATCAGTCACGAGTAATAAAAAAGAAACACCGAAAGACGGAGTAATCCCTTTTACCCTATTTTGGTCCAAAGGCCAGAAAAATGTAGATCTGTCCGACACCAATCAAACTTGAGTTCTTACCGACCAACAAGCACCGCAGACGCGGAGCGCCTGCGCGAACCGGCAGCCCGCCGGAAGCCCGTCCGACTACCCAGCGGCTTTGCGCGTCTGCGGTGTGAGCGTCCGCGCTGGAGCTGAGCAAGCATGGGGAAGGTGAATGTGGCTAAGCTGAGGTACATGAGCCGCGATGACTTCAGGGTCCTGACCGCGGTAAGAAGCACGCCCTTCTCGCCTATGCGTCCCGGGTGGCGTCCTCTTCCTGCCCCTCGGAAGGTCGCTGGGAGCTGAGTGTGAGGGCTCTGGTCTGTGGGTCGTCGCCGAGGCTGGGATCTGGGTGAAGGGTACCCAGGTCTGACTGTTCACTAAGTTTTGGTGGAGAAAGAGGTATCTTTTTCCCTAAATACGGCAAAGCCTGCCTTTTCCGCTTCCCCTTTTGCTTCACGGAGGCGCTCGCGTCTCTGCTGCCCGGGAAACTTCAGTGGACCCTCGGCTTTCAAACTAGCGAGAGGGTTTAAGTTCTTGAAGGAGGGCTGTTAGGTTCCCAGCGATAGACCCAGCCACGCAATGTTCCCGTAACGATTCATTCGGGAAAACACATTTGTCTGTCTTTACTCCTATTTAATCAAACCACAAAGTTGGTGTATGTCATGATCCCAACCCCGAACCAGGGAATGTTACCCTACGGGAAAAGAATATAACTCTATTGAGGGCAAAAAACCCAGAGGTGGGAAAAGTCTTCAAAGAAAGACTGAGGGTTGGAGATGTACATGGAAAAGCTGAGACCCAAGTCATGTTATCCGTGCAGGCCTACTAAGCGTTATGTATGGAAGCCAGTGAATGTTTTAATTAGGAAAATGACAAAACTTGATTGCATAGCTTTAGTCTCATTGCACAGAGATCAGGACATACATCAAAGATTAGACAAGGTCTTTATTTAGGGGTCACTGTGGTTTGGTAAGGAGAGGGTGACTGTGTCACACAATTACATAATATGTGTAATGTGAGTTGCCTTGTTCACGTATTATTTTAAGCCTTTGTGACCAAGGCTTTTTTGGAACTAGTCTTAAGCAGGTAGCATTTACAAGTTAATCAATCAAATGCAAAGTCCATAAAGAAATCTAGCATACACTTTCTTTCTCCTATAGCAGCCTTAATTAACCTGGGCTTTTTCTTTAAATAGTATTTTTAAATAATGGCTTTCCATCTCTTCTCAGCACATTCACTTATTAATGTCTGACAAAAACAGGTTTGTAAAGAAGTGTATTGGAGCCGGGCGTTGGTGGCGCATGCCTTTAATCCCAGCACTCGGGAGGCAGAGGCAGGCGGATCTCTGTGAGTTCGAGGCCAGCCTGGTCTACAAGAGCTAGTTCCAGGATAGCCTCCAAAAGCCTCAGAGAAACCCTGCCTCAAAAATCAAAAAAAAAAAAAAAAAAAAAAACAGAAGTGTATTGGAAGATTGGGAAAGCAGAAACAGAACATTAAAAAATGAGTCAAAAGCCTCAAATGCTTAACCTATGGTGAGATAACAGAGTAACAAATTTTTCTTCCAAAATTTCTAAGCTCCCTAAGGAATTACCTAGTTATTAAAGTTAATATTTCAGGCTCAAAGGGATGCTGCCGGTGTTGACTTTGCTTGCTCACCCCGTCTTCCTGTGAACCTCTATCAATTATCTCAATTATGCTTAATATCTGTAATTTTTGAGATAGGTGTTTAGGTGTTATGTATTTTATCATCGGCCATGTGTCATTAGCTTTTCAAGAACTAACAGTTTTTACTCTTGAAATTGAGGAACAGTATCAGTGATTAAATGTGTTTATCAAGAAGGAATTTAACATGATGCAGGCGAAAATAACTATATTGTAGAATTATAGCCATATGCTGACCTAAACCTTTTGTTTGGCCAGAGAATGTGTGTTCAGCAATCTCCTAGGATCATTCTATTTAGTGACAATATAACCATGATAGTGCCCACTAATGCTTTGTAGTCTACATTTGCTTAACAGCACATTTCTAGTGTGGCCAGAGATGTACTTAGTTGGGAAAGTTTCAAGAGGCTAATTTCTTAGCACAGTTTCAATAGACAAAGCTTTGTGTTGCTTATGTCATCATAATGACTCCTTTAATTTCAGGTTGAAATGGGCATGAAGAACCATGAAATTGTTCCCTGCAGTTTGATTGCTTCTATAGCCAGCCTGAAACATGGTGGCTGTAATAAAGTTTTGAGAGAATTAGTGAAACATAAACTCATAGCTTGGGAACGTACTAAAAGTAAGTAGTTTATGCTATATTACTTGTCAATTTCCAGATAATTGGCTTTCTTTTTTTTTTTTTTTTTGGTTTTTACGAGACAGGGCTTCTCTGTATTGTTTTGGAGGCTGTCGGTTCAGCCCAGCCTCGAACTCACAGAGATCCGCTGCCTCTGCCTCCTGAGTGCTGGGATTAAAGGCGTGCGCCACCTACGCCCGGCCGATAATTGGCTTTCTATAGAGCCGACCTTCAAAAAGCATGAAGTACAGGTTGCCTGACTAGACAACCAAGAACTGACATGTTCTTCTGCCATATTGAATTGATCAAAAACAGTCAGAGTCCACTTGAGGAAGGAAGAGAAAGTAGCAAGATCACACTGCAGAACAAATGGAGTAGTCGTACAGTTATCACTACCTTTGGAAAATCTAGGCTCTCACAGGACTCTAGAGCATTTCTTCCCAAGCCATCCATGATGAGGGCTAAAGGATTAAAAACTTATCAAAGACTTTTTTTTATAAGAAAAAGTAGTTATTGAAAAAGAAAAGAGAATAATGGTTATAGTCAGATCAATATAAAATATACTGAACTTAAATACTTTTGAGTCTGTGTGCATATCTTTTCACATACCCTCAAACTGGTGTTCATACATGAATCACTTTAAATAGTTCTATAATAGAGAAGATATTAGGAATGGGAATTTACAGGTCTGGATAACTTATCTTTTTCTAGCTTAAATTTTCCATCTTTGATGCTTGGCTTGAGTTGATGTATCTTGTTCCTACAGTTCAAAAAACTAATGTTTTTATCTAATTTTTGTCTAGCTGTCCAGGGCTATCGATTGACAAATGCTGGTTATGATTACCTAGCTTTGAAAACCCTGTCTTCTAGACAGGTAGTTGAGTCTGTTGGAAACCAGATGGGTGTTGGCAAAGAGTCAGGTATGTACTAATAGTATTGTTGAAAGCACTGTCTGCTTAAGTTTTTAAATTACTTTGAGAACGCATTCTTTCATTTTGTTACATAGTCCAACTAAATAGTAAGTCTGAAAGTTGATTGTAAGCAATTACAGATTTAGTAGCATAGTTTGTTATTTATTAACAGTAATTTAGTAGGTTATAATTATCTCCATAAATTACTATCATTCCAGTGGTACCAAAATTTTCCACAAATCACACATACTACCAAGTGTTTTACTACTCAGCTACATTTCAGGCCCTAATTTTCTTTTACTAGCTCACATCTTTGGTGACTATTATATTTTCTCTTATTTTATATCTCATAAGATATGCATTTGTATTAATTAAAAATACATACCAAAAGGAAGTAATGGGAGATAGTAAATATCAATACCACAGGCACATTGTTCTGTCACAGCAACACAGAACTAAAAGCATTTTAAAATGTCATGGAGCAAATAGTTGTATATTCATTCCCTTCCTCTGTGAGAGACAAGAATAAAGAATAGGAGATGGTTGTTTTTGAACCATAGCCTCCTGTATACAGCTTTTGTCCTGTACAGTTCTTCCTATCTAATTTACATTGTCTAAACTGGGGAAGCAAAATTAAACGTGGAAATAAATATTAAGAAACCTACCCCCAAAAGGTCCCTATGAGATTTTATATGATTAGTGTGCCTTCTGTGTTTATATCTAAGTTATAGTATGTATTTAAGAAGTAATGCTAATTTGGGTGGTGGTGGCACACACCTTTAATCTCAGCACGAGGGAGGCAGAGGCAGGCAGATCTCTGTGAGTTCAAGGCCAGCCTGGTCTTCAAAGAGAGTTCCAGGACAGTCTCAACCTACAGAGAAACCCTGTCTCAAAAAAGCAAAAAGACAAAAACAAAAAGTAATGCAACAATACTGAGTTGAAGTAGGGAGAGCGTGTACACATGTAAATGAATATAAATGTATAAACAGTGGACTATCATCTCTGGGTAATATAACCTTCCTGTTAATTGTTTTTGCTCTCAGTCATTACTTTTGAATTTTAAATTATTAATTAGCTATTGTAAATATCTCAACTATTTGAAAAGACTAAGTTGTTATGAAACAGATTGTTTATTTTTTAATTTTTAAAAAATTGAACAGTAAAATGATAAGCATTAACATTGCAAAAATAATCCGGGCGTTGGTGGCACACACCTTTAATCCCAGCACTTGGGAGGCAGAGGCAGGAGGATGTGAATTGGAGGCCAGCCTGGTCTACAGAGCAAGTTCCAGGACAGCCTCCAAAACAATACAGAGAAACCCTGTCTCAAAAAAAAAATTGCAAAAATAGAAAGTACAATAAAATCTAGTCTTATTTCAAATCTACATTTTAGTTAATTTTCTGTTGGTTATATCTCATAGCTAAGGCTATGTCTTATTTAATCTGAGAAATTTTCTGTAGAAAAACATTATATGCATTATGTGCATTTAGAGTTACTTTTGTGTTCACATGAGATTGTAGCAAGAGTGGAATTCCAGTAAGCATTACTCAGTATCTTATACCGTAATTTTTGTCTGCTTTTCACTCTTGATGTTGTTTAGCGACAGGTATCTTTATCATAATTGTACAGTGTTACAGTGGGAGAGTTTTTCTTTAATTGATTTTTATCATTTTCTAAGCAGTAGTGATTTGAGTTTCATTTATTCTTAATTGTGAATAGTAATAGAAGTCCCTTTCTTTAGAGAGATATGTAAAATTTTAGTGTTTCAGTGGGGGAATTTTTAGGAACACAATTCAGTCCATAACAGGACAAAAAGTATATAAAATTTGATATTACCAAGTTTCAAAAAAAGTATAATGTTTTATATTCTGTCAATAAGATATGATAGCCTATTTTAATAGATATGGTTAAAATTTTTAATGTACTGAGAACATGTTCTAAATGTCAGCATTACAAATAACTTACTTTGATAGTTGGCAAATTACTTATTAAAAAGATCACTTGTTTACTTACAAGTTAAATTCTAACTTATTGGTCGTCATAGCAGTTGAACATGTTGAAACAGATGTTAAACACTTTGCTTAGACTGATAACGTAATTGTATGATAGAGCCCTTACTGCTGTGCACAAGACCTGTGTTGGATCCCTAGCACTTCCCTGGCTAGAAACACTTTTTCGATGACTTGAATAATTGTTTTGACATAATGATAAATGTTAAGTATTGGCTATCTTTGAAAGCCCTAGTACCAGTGCATCTCTGCTTTCTTTTACAGTTACATATGAGCACATTTTAGGTTGTCATTTCAGATATGAAATGTTTACACAACTAGTATTAGGAAAGATAGCAGATACAAGGAAGGCAGATAAAGTCAGAACTATTTAACCCATTGTAGTAACAGTGTCTTAATGATGTTTTTACAATTTGTGCTCTAGATATTTACATTGTTGCAAATGAAGAAGGGCAGCAGTTTGCACTGAAGCTTCATAGACTGGGAAGAACCTCATTTCGAAATCTGAAAAACAAGCGTGATTACCATAAGCACAGGCATAATGTTTCTTGGCTTTATTTATCTCGTCTCTCTGCCATGAAGGAATTTGCCTATATGAAGGTATTTTTTAATGATTTTAAATTTCTTAAAAAAAAAAATAACCTGTAACTCCTCATTATAAGCAATCGTTACAAAGACCTTAATGACCCCCAATTCAGTCCCTACAGTCAACTTGAACTCTGTTGATTATGTTCTTTTCCTAGTGGCTTCTTCCTCTTATGACTTCCTCTTAATGAAGACATTTAATTATTGTGCAAATTTATGTGTGTGACTATATAAATGTTCTTTTTATTAAAAACGTTATCTGAAAATCTTGTTTCAGATAACTTGACTAGTATTTTTCTTTAACATTATGAGGAAAAATTAATTTACATATTTGTAATAAAATTGTATCTGGAACCTTTAAAAATAAGTGCCACATAGATTTAAAAAAATCTTCAATACTTAAATATTATCAATAAGTTTAATAGAAAATAACAGTTATTTTGTCTAGTAGGATTTGTTAAAATTTACTTTATTGTTTTTAGTTTTGTTTGTGCGTGCGTGCGTGCGTGCGTGCGTGTGTGTGTGTGTGTGTGTGTGTGTGTGTGTGTGTAGGAAGGTACATAACTTGTAGGATTCACTTATTTCCTTCCATCATGAGAGTCTCTGGGATGGAATGCAAGTCTATTAGATTCCTTTACCCTCTGGGCCATCTTGATGGCCCAGTTTTTAGTTTGATTGCTGTATTTGATTCCCACAAAAAAAAAAGTTTTCTAGCCGGGCGGTGGTGGCGCACGCCTTTAATCCCAGCACTCGGGAGGCAGAGGCAGGCGGATCTCTGTGAGTTCGAGGCCAGGCTGGACTGACAGCCTCCAAAACAATACAGAGAAACCCTGTCTTGTAAACCCCCCCAAAAAAAGTTTTCTTAGTTGCTGAGAATTACTATAGTGTGGAAGCAGCTGCTTCTTGGAAGCTCGGCTTGTTTTCTCTGAATAGTTTATTTAACCCTTTCATTGTTAGTAGTAGTAGAATTCTTAAAGCAGTATAAATAAGCAATTGTGATACTGTATGTTTCCTTTTTTCTTTTTATACTATATAAGGAAGTATCTTGGCAAAAATCATTAAACATTTCCTCCAAACAGTAATGGATTTTTTTTTTTTTTTTTTTTTGGTTTGGTTTTTCGAGACAGGGTTTCTCTATTGTTTTGGAAGCTGTCGATCCAGCCCAGCCTTGAACTTATAGAAATCCGCCTGCCTCTGCCTCCCGAGTGCTGGAATTAAAGGCGTGCGCCACCAACGCCCGGCGTAATGGATGCTTTTTAAGTGTGTTCACATTGAAGGTACAGAGAGATAACCTGGTTGCACATAGGTACTCTTCTTAAATAAATGCATCGATATTTTCCCAAAAGGAAAAGACTAAGATACAGATTGAGCGGTGACTCGATAGCTGCACTATTAATGTAAACTCTTGAGCAGTGCTTCTCAACCTTCCTAATGCTGCAACTTTTAATACAGCTCCTCATGTGGTGGTGACGGCCAACCATAAAATTATTTCTGTTGCTACTTTGTAACTGTAATTTTGCTACTGTTCTGAATAGTAATGTAAGTATTTGTGTTTTTCAGTGATCTTAGGTGATTTCCTGTGAAAGGGTAGTTTAGCCCACAAAGGGGTCTTGACCCTCAGGTTAGGAACTGCTGTTCTAGACAAATGTTAGTATATTTTTTGTTTTGTGAGACAGGGTTTCTCTGTATTGTTTTGGAGGCTGTCCTGGAACTCGCTCTGTAGACCAGGCTGGCCTCGAACTCACAGAGATCTGCCTGCCTCTGCCTCCCAAGCGTTAGGATTAAAGGCGTGCGCCACCACCGTCCGGCATAATTTTTAAGATTATACTATGCTCCTATGCTTCCAGGACTTGTTAAAACTGGTCTGTATTGATGTAAAACTCTTTAAAGTAAACAAAGATTTCTGGGAAGTATTTCAGTTCCTATCCACAGAAGGTGGTAGTTAAGTTGGAAGCTTTTAAAATTAAGTACTATGGTAATGCAGGATAAAGGGCCAAATACCAAAGGACTAGCCAGTATAGACTGCTTTAAAGTTGGGAAGATAACAGACAGAAAGAAAAGTTTATATGTTAAAGTCAGAGTCAATATGAAGAGGAAAATACTGTGACGTGAATGGGAGTTGAGTGAATTCATAAGATGGATATGAGTTTTAAGGAAAGGACTGTGCAGAAGATGAAGCGTCTGCCAAGGCATGACTGGATGTTAGCCCCATGTGTGTAAGTGGTTCTGAAGTGACAGTCCTAACTATGTTTTTGGTGCTGACTGAAGAATTTGTACTAGACAGTTACAGAGAATTTTGAAAACTGGGCAACAAAAATACAAAAGTGGTTCAGACTGAAATAAAATATCTACATCCACTATAAATACTTTTAAATTATGCATTGGCATAAGTATCTAGTCTGATAGGTCCATAGGTAAGGTATGGTGGCAAGAGATTGGACACTAGTAGAATAATTATGCATAAATAACAAAGGCCTAGTAGAAATATTGGCACTCCAGAGGTCAGAGAGGAAGAGGTGTGAATGGTCTAAAGTAATATCTGGCTCAGACTGCCATGTGTACATAATTGTTACTTACCTAGTGTATCGCAGTATATTCTGGAGATTAGCATCAGTGACTTACAGACTGAAATGCCTGACCTTCAGGATGACTGACTTCTTATGCCAGAAAACCTAAATAACAGTTGACAGAGACTTAAAAAACAAAAAGGGAATACCATAAGGGACTATAAGAATTTTTTACATTCATTTTTGTCTTAATCACAGTATAGAATACTTAGTAATTGCATAATTTAAGAGGGAAAGTTAATTCGAAGCAACTTAAGTTTATTTTTATGTATAACTAATTAGTTCTTGCAGTAAATCATGCATTAAATACCCTTAGGTTGACTAAAAATTTGTAAGGCCTTGTTGTTGGAAAATGCATTCTTTTGTTCTTTTAAAAACATGATTTTATTAACTTTTTATATTTTTTTCCATTTTAGGCATTATATGATAGGAAATTTCCAGTTCCAAAGCCAGTTGATTACAATCGCCATGCAGTGATCATGGAGCTTATCGATGGTTATCCCCTGTAAGTGTTCATTAAACTTGAAAGCATAGGTCCTAATAAATGAATTTAAGGTCCATGTTTTTAAGTAAAATGTATTAAATTGTTGGAATATTTCTGAGAAGCTAGACATTTCTAAAGAGGTATGCAAAAATAAGTTGAAAACTCAGTTTTATTCGGTTATTCATCTTTGCCATTTGTAAATTGATTTGTTGAGTGCTTGTGAAAAGTACTGTTACATACTAATACTTTCAAGTTCAGCAGTGAACAAAAAAGTTCCTGCCCTCAAACTGAACAAGGAAATACATAGTATATCTAGTATATTAGTAAATTCTATCGATAAAGGTCAATGAAGAGGCTAGAGGTAGGAGATTCCTAATTAATACAAGACAGTCAGGAAAAGTGCCATTCACAGAGTGAAATCTTAGGAAACTAGCTAAGGCAATATTCCAGGTAAAGGAAAAGCGTTGGTCCTTGGATGTTCACAGCTGTAGTTAGAGAAAGAAAAAACCAGTATATAGAGCAGAGTGACTAAGGTAGGATGGGTCGGAGGAGGGGGAAAAGTGAACAGTCAGATCCAAGAAGCAATCAGGGAAGATAAGTTAGGAAACTTTCAGAAGTCCAGGCAAGAGATGGTTATATCTTTAATCACAGTCATAAAGGTGATGAAAAGTGCTCAGATTCTCAGGTAGCAGCATGAGTTATTTGGAATTGGATGTGAGTGCGAAAGAGGTGGGAAATGGATGATAGAGAGGACATTGGCCTCGGTGATTAACAATAAAGAAAGAGAATCTGAAAGGCATGGTGCCTGAGAGTTGAGTGAAGAAAGTATTTCAAGGAGAAGAAGTTAGCTGACTAGAAATGGAAATGACAAAGAATTTAGGCCTAAAAGAATAGAAGAAATTGCCTTGAACTGTTTTTGTTTAAATGGTGTGGAAGGAAATCTAATGAAAGTAGCATGAGTGAAATTAGAAGAGGCTTTTTTGTAAAAAAGTTGAGCTGTAAGGAAGGTGTGAGATAGGAAGTGATGGTGGAAAACAGGCTTGGAAGGTGGTGTGGGCTTTTAATAGTTGAGACGTGTATCTGATGAAAATGAGGAGGAAACTGGGAAGACTGGGAATTGGAATGACGTACAATACACATACTACTTTTATACTCATTAAAATCAGGAACATAAACAAATAACCTATTCATAATTTTCATGCTTTGAGGTGTCAGATACATCATGTTGAAGACCCTGCATCAGTTTATGATGAAGCTATGGAACTAATAGTCAAATTGGGAAATCATGGGTTGATTCATGGAGATTTCAATGAATTCAATCTCATATTGGATAAAGATGACCACATCACCATGATTGATTTTCCACAGATGGTTTCCACTTCCCATCCAAATGCTGAATGGTATGTGCTAAAACTGATTCTAGTTGTGGATATGTTTGTGTATCATAGGATCATTTTTTATTCATAATTTTCTAGTTTTCTATTTAGAGCAGTAAATTGTTTCAATGATGAAGATTTATTTTTTGAATAAAGGATATCTAACTACTAGAATTTTCCCTGTAAGAAAATCTTTACTACTCAGTGTTTTAAAGTAGACAAAATATACTTAGGTCCAATTTTAAAACTAATCCTTATCCTGTGTATTGAGAATCTAACACATAAACTTCAATGAAGAAAGCGTTAAAATAATTTGTACTTAACATTCAAATCAAGCTTTCTAAGCCATGGAGCTGATTTGTTCAAATAGGACTTTTAAGAAATCAAAGCAGCCAGCCGGTGGTAGTGCAAGCATTTAATCCCAGTATTCAGGAGGCAGAGGCAGGCAGATCTCTTGTGAGTTCAAGGCCAGCCTGGTCTACAGAGCTAGTTCCAGGACAGCTGGAAATACATGGAGACACCTTGTCTCAGAGAAAAAAAAAATCAGAGTTTTAAAACCAAAGCTTACTCAGAAGTAGTTACATGGAGAGGCTATGTGTCCTATTCAGAAGTAGATAAATGGACAGCAGATAGAAAAGATAACATTAAAGATGATTGTTTACTTTTACAGGTATTTTGACAGAGATGTTAAATGCATTAGAGAGTTCTTCATGAAACGTTTTGGCTATGAAAGTGAGCTCTACCCAACCTTTAGTGACATCAGGTTTGTATTTAGTGTTGCTTATAATGATAGAACCCCTTTGATAGATTATTTGCTTAATTCTAAAGTTAATTCTTTCATCTGAAATAATGTCCAGACATACAGTTGCTGTTGAATATCACCACTCTATAGTACATGAATGAAACTTGAAGATTTGAAAATACTTGTCAGTTAGTTAAAATGCTACAGTTGAACTTTTGAATGTTGGATTTATTTTCTTATGAAGTCAGCACCTTTCATTGTATTTTGAATGCTGCATCAAATGTTTATAACCCATTTATAAGAAATCAGGTGGCAAATCTTAGTAAAATTGGTGTTTTGTTTTGGTTTTTAAGATTTTATTTTTAATTATGTGTATTTCTGTGTCTTAGTTAGGGTTTCACTTGTGATAAAACACCATGACCAAAAGCAGCTTGGGGAGAAAAGGGTTTATTTGGCTCACAGTTTACAATCCGTCAGCAGAAGAATCCAAGGCAGGAACTGGAGCAGAAGCTGTGGAGGAGTTCTGCTTATTGGCTTGCTCCCTCATGGCTTGCTCAGTTTACTTTCTTAAACCTCCCAGGATCGCCTGCCTTGGGGTGGCACTACCCAAAGTGAGTTGGGATTTCCCACATCAATCACAAGTCAAGAAAGTGCACAGGCTTGCTTATAGACCAATGCGGTGGGGACATTTTCTCATTTGAGCTTCCCTCTTCCCAGAATTTTAGCCTGAGTTACATTAACAACACACCACACAAACCCATGCATAAGTGCAAGTACCAACAGAGGCCAGGAGAGAGTCAGATCCCCTGGAGCTGGTGGTTGTGAGCAAACCAAAGTGGGTACTAGTAACCAAACCCCCTTCCACTAGAAAAGTAACATATGCTGAGCCATGTCTCCAGCCTTATTGTTTTTCTTTTATTCAGATTATGTGTATTTTTGAGTTAATCTTTCTCTATTGGCTTTATACATTTTAGGATATTTTGTGGTTTGAGATTTGTTGTTGCATAGTTTAAAAAGCATATATTCTTCTCTCATATATTACACCCCAACCCCAGTTTCTCTCTCCATTCTCTCCTCCCAGTCACCCCCCCTTTCTCCTCTAGATCCATTCTTCCCCCATTTCTCTTCAGAAAAGAGGAGGCCTCCCAGGGATATCAGTCGAACATGGCATAACAAATTACGATAAGACTAGGCACACATACTTTCATGTCAAAGCTGGACAAGGCAACCCAGCAGAAAAAAAAAGGGGGTCCCAAAAGTAGGCAAACGAGTCAGAGACAGCCCCCACTTCCCCTATTAAGAGTCCTACAAGAACACCAAGCTACACAACCATATCATATATGTAGAGGACATAGGTCAGACCCGTACAGGCTCCCTGATTAGTGTCCCAGTCTCTTTGAGCCCCTATGTACCCTGGTAGTTGATTCTATGGGCTGTGTCCTTGACCCCTCTGACTCCTACCATCCTTCCTCCCCCTTTCCCATAGGGTTTCCTGAGCTCCACCTAGTGTTTGGTTGTGAGTTTCTGCATCTGTTCCTATTAGTTGTTGGATGAAGCAATCCTTAAACTTTTTTGCCTGGCAGTGGTAGCACATGCTTTTAATCCCAGCACTTAGAAGGCAGAGGCAGACGGATCTCTGTCAGTTTGAGGCCAGCCTGGTCTACCAAGCGAGTTCCAGAACAGTCAGGGCTACACAGAGAAACCCTGTCTCGAAGAGAAAAAAAAAAAAAAACCAATCCTTAACACTTTTTTCAAGTGTAATAAAATCAGTTGGTTTCTATAATCTCTTCATTATTATGTTGCTGTTTAGCCATTTTATTCTTCAAATATCGTTTATATTTTGTAAAGTTGAGTAGTTTAAACACTGTGTTTAAGATTAAAATGTGGAAGGCCATTTGAACTCCCTTCCAATTTATCATTTATTAGATTGGTGCTATTCATCTCAATATCCTTTTTCTGTGTCATTGGATGCTGGTACCCTCTTTCCCTAGGAGGGAGGACTCTCTTGACGTGGAGGTCTCTGCCAGTGGTTACACAAAGGAGATGCAAGCAGATGATGAACTGCTCCACCCAGTAGGTCCAGATGATAAGATTACTGAAACAGAAGAGGAATCTGACTTCTCATTCTCTGATGAAGAGGTGTTAGAAAAACACAAAGTTCGGACATCAGAAACGGAAAATGAACTGAACCCAGTAGATGAATCGGATGGCTACTGTTGCCGCTCACCTGGAGACTTTAAGCAAATAAAGGAAGATGATTTATCAGAGCAGAGTGCTGATGTATCCAGTTTTGAAGTGACTGAATTAAATCAAGCTTTAGAAGAAATGAAGGCGCAGGTTCTTACCCACAGTTCTGTTACTGGCTTTTCTGAGGAGAGCAATAGTACTGAAAATGACACCAGACACGATGGCCAGACAGGTCAGTGGACTGCTGACTCTGAAGAGTGTGAGGATGAATGCCCTGATCTGATTGCCTTGTCATCAATGAACAAGGAGTTCAGGCCTTTCAGGTATAGATTCTTATTCGCTTTTTACCTTTAATCTTGAGATCCGTATATTCTTTGACAAAGGAGCATATTTGAAAAAGAACAAATGCTATGACATGATTGTGCTGTGCCATCATGCATAAAATGGAAGTCTGCTTTTTCATATTGAAACAAATTTGTCTTTTCGATTGATCTGATTCCAGATAGTCTATTGACTAAATTTCACAAAATTCTGCCTTTAACTAAAACATATGACTTCATAGAATTAATGTTGATCTGTGTTTTAGACAGGATAAGTTCTGCTTTGCTTAATATGTATTTAAACTACAAAGAGGCATGAAAGTATGTAAGACATACAACAAATGTGATTTCTGTGTTAAATATCTACTGAGAATATTTTGTGATGCTTTGGGACTTCTGTCATTTGTTTTTTCTCGTACACTTAAAGCCACATAACAGTATTGCATTTTAAGTTTTTTTTCTTTTGGTTTTGTTTTGGTTTTTTGGTTTTGGTTTGGTTTTGGGGTTTTTTTGCTTGTTTGGTTTTGGTTTTTGTCTTGAAGGTGTTAAGCGCAACTCAAATTATTTGAAGGTGTTAAGCGCAACTCAAATTAGCAAAAGTCCTGAAACCTAGTTTTTAGATTTGGAATAAAACTATAGTTTATTGCAATAGTGACCTTATTTATTTCAAAACGTTAATATACAGAGTTGTTACATCCACTCCAGTCCCCCTGGGACAGAGTGTAACAGCTTCACATGGCCAGGGAAGGTTACCCCAGCGAAAAGTGTTACAGCCCTGCTCTGCTATGCCCGGCTCTGCCCAGGGTGGTCTTTGCTCCTGCCAAAGAAGGTCTCACTAAAATCTTATTCAAGAGATTTATTGGGAGGGAAGAATCCAGGAGAGTGGCTGCCCTCTGCCAGTGTGGCAGAGGACAGCTGGGCAGCACGAACAGCCACAAGCTGAACAGACAACAGGGTTTATATAGGAATTCTTAAGGGGTGGAGTTTTTCTAGGGTGGGGATTGGTCAGATTTCAATCCTGAGTTTAGGATGCCTAGATCTCCTGCTCGGGGATTGATTAGTTTTCTGCACAGGTTTAGGGTCAGATTTGACTTTGGTTTCAGGGCCAAAGTATGTTTCTTTCACTGGTCCTTTTTAGCCTTTTGGCTCTAGTTTTAGGGACAGGGTGTATTTCTTTTACTGGCTCTGATTCCAGGAACAAGGTATGTTTCTTTGGCACTGGTTTCAGGGTCAGGGTGCATTTCTTTAGTTCTGGTTGCAGGGCCAAAATGTGTTTCTTTGGCTCTGCTCAGGGTGTGTTTCTTTGGCTGAACCCTTTTCCCTACAATAGTGTAGAAACAACATATGGTAAAATATATGCCATTTGCTCTTGTGATTGCATAGTTAACTAGATCTTTGGATGACTGTTTCCCAGCATCTCAAGAGTATCAGTACCACATAGAGACAGCCCTAGAGGAAATCAAAGTGTGGTTGCTACCAAATGTGCTAACACTTTCACATTGTTACAAAGTTGAAAATTTATAAGATCAGCCATACTAAGTCTGGGATTGACTTTATAAGGAATTGGTCTTTGGTCTACAGTAGCAAGTTGGAAACTCAGAACAACTAATAGTGCTTCTAAATTGGTGTACCTTTTGTGGTATACCTTAAATAATGTCTAACAAATACCTAGCCCCCCCAAAAAAAACTGTATAGGGTTAGTAGTCTTATAAGCAGTGAGGGAGTTAATGATTGGTTCTTGCTTTGCACAAATACTGTACAAAATTTTATTCATTGAATAGTCATTTAAGGAGAGAGTGTATAAGCAAAAATAGATATTGTGGAGCCACAGAAATGGCTCAGAAGGTAAAAATCACTTGCTACTAGGTTTGACCCAAGTTCAGTTTCCAGGACTGGCATGGTGGAAGGAAAGAACCGACTCCTGCAAATTGTTCCCTGACCTCCACATGCATGGCATGTGCCATTCTCACAGAAGATAAATGTAATTTTAAAAAATAGATGTTGTAGGAAAATGCTGGCTATCAGAAGCTAATGTTTTCTGAGTTCTTGTACATTGTTTACATTAAAATACTAAGCACTGAGAAGCATAGACGTGTCCATGATTGTAATTTTTATTATGACTCAGTACAGTTTCAGAGTATGTCTGTCTCTGGCTGGGTATGGTGGTACATAGCCTACACTTCCACTTGGGGGCTTGAGATAGGAAGAGCAGCCTTGGCTACAAATGAGACCCTGTCTTAGAGAATGAGATGTTTATATCTGTCCATACTATGTTTGCTTTTTTATATAATTTAGTGGAAAACCCAAATGAATTGTGGGAAAATGATAAAGTTCAGTTTTGTCAGACATTCCATGAATGTTCAAATGTAGTGAGCTGAGTTGCAAGTAGTTTCACTTTTGCTTTCATAAATATGATTCTTAGGCATTTCATCGTAAGCTTCACTGAAAAAAATACAAATTAATTTTTACATTATAAAAAATAACAAGATAAATTGTATTTTTCTTAAATTATATTTATCCTAGAGATGAAGACAGTATGAATAGTGTTGCTCAGCACAGAACAAGAACCCTGAGTGTTACATCTACCAGCAGTATCCTAAGCTGTTCAACAATTCCTCCAGTAAGTATTACACATGTATCAGCTGTTTGGGCCAGTGCTGTAGAGAGTAATAAACTTAGGCACTGTGAGGATTTCAGGTCATTTAGATATTTGAGTCTCATAAAATTAATAGCACTCAGAAGTTTAGTAAGAAGAGGGGAGAGGGCTCACTTACCTGGAATAAGCAGTTTCTAGGGATGGGGCAGCATAAAAATTAGTTTGAATTTGAGAAATAGAATGTTAAGTGTTTTGGATCCAGATGGGATTTTGTATTTTCTTTGGTTTGCTTGTTTGTTTTTAATGATAATTTATTTTTTATTTTGTTTGTATTAGTGTTTTGCCTGAACATATGACTATGAGGGTGTCAGATCCCGGAGTTAGAGACAGTTGTTAGCTGCCATTGTGGGTGCTTGGAACTGAACCCAGGTCATCTGGGAGAGCATTCAGCACTCTTAACTGCTGAGCCATTTCTCAACCCCTACCCCAGGCATTGAATTTTTAACAAGGGAAGTTACGTGGTCTTGCAGAAAGGTACAGCCCTAGCAATATGGCTAAAATGTGAAGGTGTTCGTTCCATCCTTGCTTTTTTACATTCTGGAAAATGGGTAATTTTAAATGTCTTTGATTTCAAATTTTTGTTGGTTCCTTGGACATTTAGCAGTAGTGTCCAAACAATTTACAAAAGAGACGCTTTTCAAAACAGGACGGTGAGCAAAATATTCTAGCCCCAACTGAGGTTTCTGGCATGTAAGCCAGCTTTTGTTCTGACCTACCCAGAGGAAGAATCGGTGTAAGGATTATTACACCCCACAAAGCAAGCCCTCTTTTGTGGCCTGTGGAGGAATTGTTTCTCCATCTCCACAGGATTATAGATCTCATTCACTCTTGACATTTGAAAGGAGCAGGGATTTACAAGTCATTACTCTTGTGGGCACTCAAGCAAAACTATGTTGGGTTTGCTTTCCTGATTCTTTGGCAGATACTGTGCAAGTTTACAACCTACCCACTTTATTTCAGGAGTAGGGCAGTATTTTTGAAGAGTACTATTTAATTCTAAAAACTATTTTCGGCCTAACATTAAGAAACTGAAATAATAGTAATTTATCAAGTTTTTCACATGTTAAAATCCTATAATTGTGTTGGATTTTTTCTTGTGTTTATGTAAGATTTTGTGTTATTAAAGCTAGCTTTTTAGAGATAATTTACTCGTGGTGAACAAAGAAGGAACAGTTTAGAAGGGAAGAAATGAGGAAATGGCTACATAGAAATAAATTTAAAAGATACTTCATTTTGCTAAAGTTATTCACGTATGTCACTGGTAAATTAAAATGTTTTGGATAGAATGAAATATTATATTAAATGAAAACTATCAAGGATAAAGTAAAAAATTAAAGTTGGGAAGGTGTTTCCATGAGTTTGTATCCCCAGTGTCCACATGAAAAGCCAGGCATGGCGATTGTGCCTGTAATCCTAACACCAACAGGATCGTCCTAGTCAGGTAGTCAGTTTGAACTCCAGGTTCAGTGAGAGACCCTATCCCAAAAAATAAGTTGGGAAGTGATAGAGGAAAACAATATGCACGAACCTCTGGCTTTAATACACACATGTGTCTGCACACATGTGCACACCCTCATACACACCTGTACACATGAAAGAATAAAGTAAAAGTCGTTAACAGTAGTTTCTGTTATAGTTCTGGGGCCTTTCAGAAACATTTAGAATTTGCTAGACCAATAAAGATGAAATTCTTATTTTATAGTTGCCTTCTTTTGGCTCAGAAACAGTTGTCTGTGCCTATTTAAGTGGGTACTAAGCTCCTCTGGTCCTTTTCTTTTTACCAGGCTCTCATACCTAGTTTCAGAGTCTTCAAGTCTTTTTGTGAAGTGTAATATATAAGTCTGTGCGGGCCAGGCTGGCCTCGACTCTTTAATTTTTTTTTATATAATATATTCTGATCACAGCTTCCCCTCACCCCAATTCCTTCCACTCTAATCCATACCCTTTCTTTCTCTTGATCATCATGCCTCTGCCTCTCCACTGCTAGGATTACAGGCTGTACATGTAACTTCTCTTGAAATTTTTCTCATACTGTTTTCTATTTTGTTAAAATGGCAAGAGGAAAACTGTTATCTCAATGAACTTGGTGATGGTTTTACAATTTATACAAAGACAAAAAGGGTTGAAACTATAAACAAAATCTGTTTCCTCTTTGATCGTTCCTATTTATTAGACTTTTGCATTCTTGGGGATCAAATCCAGGTTCTTCTGAAAACTAGATGTAAACTCTTAACACAGCCACTAGTCATTTGTAAATTCTGTTCTTGAATGTTTAACAGAATTAGTGATTAAGATATATTGCCTTTTAATAAATATACATGTGGCTAGATTTAATAGGAAAATGTTTTTCTTTTAACAAGAAAAAGATGGTTTTTATTCGTTTTTTATGTAGTTGCAAAAATATGTATTTTTTATTTGTTTGAGACTGTTTCTCTGTGTAGCCCTGGCAGTAGACCAGGCTGGCCTTGAACTCAGAGATCCACTTGCCTTCGCCCCCCAAGTGCTGGGATAAAGGTATAAGCCACCATTCCCTGGCTAACATATAGTATTTTACTTCATGTTGTACCTGGGTTTTTCTTACACACAAAAAAATAATTACCTTATGGGTAACTAAAATAACTTGTTCTGAATTGGGGCTATTTCGAAAGAAATGATCATTATGAACTGAGTTTTCACTTTTTCTTTAAATCCTGAGTCATGTGATTTGTACATATAACATTTAACTATGAGTGATTTGAATTTTTAAGTATGAGATGATATTCTGCATCTCTAGAAACCCTACGAAAACTTCCCATGAATGACTGCTGCCCCCGTCCCATTCTCAGTTTTCAGTCCCTGTCACCACAAACAAAGCATGGCTATGTAATCCCAGCACTGGGAGGTGAACGCAGGGAGAGCAGAAGAGCAAGGTTATCTGGCCACATTCTAGTTTAGGGTCAGCCTGGGCAGGTGGATGGATGATGGATGGATGGATGGATGGACAGATGGACGGACGGACGGACGGATTCATCTAGTTTTTCCCCTCCATGCTCATGATCACTAGGTGGCACTCTGGCGATTTATAATTTAAACTACTGCTGACCCCTCTGACTGTGTAATCTGTATTTCTGCAAAGAATGTAAATTTTTAAATTTTACAACAGCTTCTCCTGGTTTATATACTGTTCGTATAGTGTCATTAGTGTTTTTAAAAATTCATCCTCAACATCTAAATTTAAAAGATATTAGCAATGTAAATATTTGCTTTAATGAGTTTCTGCTCCTTATCAAAATGGTTGTTAGTGATACTAACTACAAAAAAATCTTTCCAGGAACTGGTGAAGCAGAAGGTGAAACGCCAGCTGACAAGGCAGCAGAAGTCAGCCACCAGACGCCGGTTGCAGAAAGGAGAAGCCAATGTGTTTACCAAGCAGCGGAGGGAAAACATGCAGAATATTAAATCTAGTTTGGAAGCAGCCAGCTTTTGGGGAGACTAGTGTATTTCTGATACATATTTTTTAAGATACTGTAATTCTATATTCAGCCACCTTTGGTCTGTTTTTAACTAAAACCACCATGTACAGAAATAAACCTTTTGACTATAAATTTGACTCATGTGGCTTCCAGAGACTAATTAATTACAATTCTGTTAAGCATTTTTTTAATTCTTCAAATAACTGTTAAACCTAAAATAACTTGTTCAATAAAACTTCATTAGCAGTATTTGCAAACTGTTAGTATTATTTTTATTTCATTGTGATGTTTTGTGTCTACCTTAAGCAGGTAGATGACTTGGCTTCAGGTCCTGGCTTCACATGTAATAAATAGTAGACAACTTAAATCAAGCATAGTTTTCCTTTCTCCTTCAATCAGTCACTGTTTGATTAGGTGGTTTTAGGATTACACGAGTCAATATACAATTATTTGGCCATTGGAATGAATTGACCTTCTGTTTAGACTTCAGTAGTAGAGATAAGTCAGTAATAGGTAATTCATCAGCCTTCAGACTATTTGGTGCTGTTTTCATTGTCTGTGTGGTTCATGGGAAAGAAATTTGAGATAAGTCCTACCAGGATTCTTAATTGTCAGCTTTTCCTCAGGTTTGAGCAGAAGTGTTGCTATAATGGAGGTGGGAGAATGAGAAGGAATGAAGAGTGAAATGTTCTTTTTTCGTTTTCTTGTATGCATGACTCCAGAATATGTTCCTACCTCAGTATTAACACGTATTTAGTACAGGAAAGAATATGTAAACCATGGTTCAATCCTCAAGCATGATCGAATTCATGATGGAGATGAATGTAGATCCCTTCAGCTTTCCAGAGCAGACAGACCAGTAGTAGAAAATCTTCAGCAAGAAATGACCACCAGATGGCAATGTCTGCCAACAGTGACCAACAGAATGTCTAGAGTAATAAGCCAGAAGAAATACAATAGATGCCTTTCCATGATAAAGACATCAGAGTCCCTTTCACCTCAGCAAAATTAATGCTTCTGGCTATTTGCAACTGATCATAATCTAAATTCATTTAGATATTTGGATATAGGAATATATCAGATAAGGTTTCTTTGAAAGTTAGACTTATTTTGGAAGTGTTGACATAGCCCTTCTTTAAATTTTAGTTGTTTCTTTAAGCTGAGGTTCTCGGTTTTTATACTTTGCCAAAAGTATTTTTATAACATAAACTAATGCTGAAGACAGCTTAATAAGACCACAGAATGTTTATTCTGGAATACATTTTCCTATATCCAAAGTGTTGAAAGCAAATGAGAATAAAACTGTATGACCTCATCTTGGCTTTACTTCATTGGCTGAGTTGACTTGAGCACCTACTACATAAAAAGCTCATTTCTATTTGATAAAGCTAGAAGACAGATTTACATGGTTCTTACCCTTAATAATCTAAGATTTCAAGTGACCTACCAAACCAAATCAGAAACAGAGGCTTCCACCTAATTGGACAAAGATTCATAGAAACTACTAAAGCTTTAGTACTAAGTGATAAGGGATTTGGATTTTGGAGGTTTTGTTTTATTTGGAAACTTAAGATCTAATTGTAAGAGGCTTCTTTGTTTTTAAGATTGGGGTGGCGGGGGTGGGGGTGTCTTTCCAGACTAGTTCTAACCTACATGTTTCAAATATCCATAGTCAACGATTAAAAAGCAAAGCTAAACCCATTCCTAATTCATTAAATCGGAATCAGTGTGTGCAAGACCTTGTTTGATTCTCAGCACAGGTGGGGGATACTCTAGAATTCCCAATTCTCAATTTTTGCATCAAGTATCTTCTGTATACTTTTGACTTGTGAAGTAGGAACATTTGATAATGTCTATCATAGACTTATGAAGACTGGATGAAAGTATTTTTGTAAATATTTATAAAAAGGATTAGGGATGTAACTCAGTGGTAGAGTTTTTGTTTTGTTTTTCTGTTTTTTTTTTGTTGTTGTTTTGTTTACTTTTGGGACACTCACCCTTACAAAGAACCAGGGTAGCTGTGGCTTCCTTTAATTCCAAGCACTCAGGAGGTAGCTTGGTCTACTAAAGTCCACAGCAGCTAGAAAGGCCCTGTCTTGAAAGAGAGAGAGAGAGAGAGAGAGAGAGGGAGAGGGAGAGGGAGAGGGAGAGGGAGAGGGAGAGGGAGAGGGAGAGGGACAGGGAGAGGGAGAGGGAGAGGGAGAGGGAGAGGGAGAGGGAGAGGGAGAGGGAGAGGGAGAGAGAGAGAGAGAGAGAGAGAGAGAGAGAGAGAGAGAGAGAAGAACCAGGCCCTCCTGCTCCCTAAATAGCCAAGGCCAGCCAACCCATTGGTGTAACCGGGCGCGTAAGCAATCTGATTATCATGACTGACCCTGGCGGGATAGGAGCATGCCAAATAAGGAGTTGTTTGTTACTGAGAGCACTCACCGTCGGGATGGTGGAATGCGGAAGCCGGCGCCATCTTTAAGGCGCAGTGTGGCGCAGCTCTCCACACAACGTTTTCTACAGAGTGTGTTCCAGGATAGCCAGGGCTAGGAGGAGAAACCCTATCTTAAAAAAAAAAAAAAAGCTTAAAGTTAATAAAATTCACTAGCTTAATCCTTTCTAGTATTATTATGACTGAGACCAGGTTAGATATTTGAATCCCTAAGTTCAGTATCTACTTAAACCTACAACCACCAAAAATGTATCTAATAGAAACTTTGCTTTTCCTTTTCTTGAATAGTCAGTTGAGTTTGTTCCCATTAAACAAGCTTTTTCCGTACAGCACGTGGCTTATATTCATATTAGCCTAGTATTGGTAGTCACCTATCTATTCAGCATGCAGATAAATGGCTTTTTTTTTAAAGATTTATTTATTTATCGCATATACAGTGTTCTGCCTACATGCCAGAAGAGGGCACCAGATTGAATTGTAGATGGTTGTGAGCCACCATGTGGTCGCTGGGAATTGAACTCAGTACCCCTGGGAGAGCAGTCGGTGCTCTTAACCTCTGAGCCATCTCTCCAGCCCAATAAATGGCTTTTTAAAGATTTACTTATTCATGTATTTTATGTATGTCAGTGTTTTGTCTTCATGCACACCAGAAGGAATCTAATCCTATTACAGATAATTGTGATTGCTGGAAACTGAACTCAGAACCACTGGAAGAGCAGTCAAGTGCTTTTAACCATTCAGCCACCTCTTGCACCCCAGATAGATGGCATTGATCTTGGTCCAGAACTATAAGATTTTTAGAGCATACTAATCACAGGGTTAGTGTAGCTTAAAATAACTATTCTTTTTGCCAAGTACTTGGTAAATTTTCTGACAAACAGGTTAATCTCTCTGATGCTATCTCCAAGTTTGCTAGCCACTTCCAGGGTGGACAGAGGCTTACTACCCATATCTTTAACCTTCAGAAGGCTTCTCAATAGAGCATTAATTTTATCTTAGTTTTTCATTGCTATATGAAGTACTGGCTTAACACAACTGAATTAATAGAGTTGGGGTTAAAAAATCAGAGCAGTCAATGGACCTCACAGTTGTGTGATAACCAAGAGTGTGGGAACAGCTCCAAAGCCCAAGGAACTTAGAAAACTAACATTTACAAAGATACCTAGTGTCATATTTTTAAAGTCTTTTAATATTGTAAACTGTAGTTATGTCATTAAAACATGTTAAATTGTTTTTAAAAATTATATAGAGGAAGAAGGTGGTTTATTGGGTAGAGTGCTGTACAAGCATCAAAACCTAAATTTCTATCCTTAGCACCCTTGTAGAAAAACACATACTGTGCTGCATGTCTGTAATTCCAGTGCTGAGATGGTGAGTGCCTGAGACAGGCTGGCCAGTCAGTTTCGCTAAAACAGCAAGCTTCCATTTCACTGAGGAACTCTCAAAAAAGATGAAGAGCAATAGAGGAAGACAATGTTGACCTCTAGCTCGCACACGTGCACACATGGGTGAGTGCACTCACATGTGCACACACCACACACAATTACATAACAAAAGCAAATGAGTGTCAATGCAATTCCTTAAAGTACACTTTACAATATAAATTTGTTGCTTGTTATGATTATCACAATCTGTGCCTCCCATAAGGAGGGGAAAAAAAAGACTGACAAGTTAAACATAACCACTGCTATAATTCTATAGTTTGTCCTATTTTAAGAGGTTTAAAAGAAAAAGTATATTTTTCCTACATCCATTTCCCAAAAGCTTAATAATGTAAAATTACCAGGGAAAAGCACATGGGTTTTTTGTTTTGTTTTGTTTTGTTTTTTTAAGATACAGCTTGTAATTGGCTGATCACCTCACCTGGCTTTGGAAAGAGAAGACTAGCAAACCAACCTTATGACAGAAGGAAGATTCTACTTAAGAGCCTGGTACCAAACTGATGATGAGAAAAATTCAAAGAAATATGAGGTAATCTGTGGAAGGGAGATTTGGTTGAATAACTAGACTGAAAAAGACAGCATGCAAAGGAGGAAATCATGCAGAAAATTTGGAAGACAGAAGTGCAGTGTGATTGCTGTGCTATAATCAAAAGGGATCAAGCCACAGATGACTTCTGCGGAAGGAGAAATGATGCATCAGTGAAAAACAACTAGGTTTTGAGCAGCTCAGGAACGACTAGTGAGGCTCAGGGGCACTTGGCAATGTTAAGAATGATTTGAAGGGGCCGGGCGGTGGTGGCGCACGCCTTTAATCCCAGCACTCGGGAGGCAGAGGCAGGCGGATCTCTGTGAGTTCGAGGCCGGAGCTGGACCGATAGCCTCCAAAACAATCCAGAGAAACCCTGTCTCGTAAAAACCAAAAAAAAAAAAAAAAAAAAAAAAAAAAAGAATGATTTGAAGGAATCTGGACTGAAATTTAAAAGGCAGAAACATGGTAGAAACAGGGTCAATTCTACCAGAGTTACAGAGATTCTCTATGACCTCATTTTAATTGCAGCTCTAAACAAACATCTTTAAACACCAAATTTCTTGCCTGAAGTCACAGAATAAGTAAGGTTGTGAGAGGTTTGATGACAACTGGTGAGTAAATAAAAAGGTGAATCACAGGACAGCTGCATTTAGGATGGTTTTGAGCTTGTACCTAATTGGGGTCTCTATAGAGTCACTGGACACACCTTGCAGGCATTAAGAAGACAGTCTGCACAACCAGATTTTGATGTCTATCCTGTCACACCTCACTTTCTGTGAAGCAAAACCTTTCTTCCTAGTACATGTCCAACAAAATCCCATCTCAATAGATTAAAAAGTCC